ATTTGGCAGTAAGGCTTGTAGGGTGCACTGGGCTAGGCGATCTCTTAGGTATGTTTGTGCTGCTGCAGTGGTATCTTTTTTTGTTGTTTCTTTCTAATCTGTTTATCTTAGATCTAAATATTAAGGGGTTCAAAATACTTAAAATTCTTAAAAGCACTAAAAAGACATTTAAAATACTGTATGCTTAAATCGTTATTGTGTTGAGTTACTTAGTAGAAGTTGAGTAAAGAATGGAGTGCTGAAAATAATATTTCAGGATTTTATTTCCCTAGTAGAATATTTGTGATATTCTAAACAAAGTGTAGCAATGTTGAATAGTCAGATAAACAACTGGCCTCTGTGTGTATTCAGACTCTTCAGTGTCAGGCTTGGTTTAAAGGTAATATGAAAGGGGTCGTTTGTTTGGGGAGACTTTATTACTATGTTAATTTAATAGGCAAATCACAACAAAATACAACAGATTAGATAAAAATTNGAGGCTGGGTTGCCTACCAGTCCATGCACTGTTCTGACACTTTCCCCAGGAGGAAAACACATGCAAGGGTCAGGGGGGAGGCATGACTAGAGGAGATTGGTAAGGATGGTATTCATGTGTCTTTGCTGTTTCTGCCTTATGCCTCAGTCTGGATTAAAAACGTTTGTACTGGTGAATAGTGGTATGGTGTGGGATAGTGTCATAACCAATTTGATGATTTATTAATCACAAAATAACAATAAATCTCTAGGTTTACCCTTGGTTTGTCTTTTCTTTTTTGTAGAAAGAAAAAGATGTCTTCAATTTACTTTCTCTAACCATGTCTTTAAAGGCTGAGTTGATTTACCCCAGATTTGATCACACTTTAGATTACTCTTTATTAAATTTTCAAGATTCCCCAGTTAAAAGGTCACACACATTGTATTGTGGTATATTTAAAAGATAGCCCACTGGGNTGTCTTCAATTTACTTTCTCTAACCATGTCTTTAAAGGCTGAGTTGATTTACCCCAGATTTTATCACACTTTCGATTACTCTTTATTAAATTTTCAAGACTCCCCAGTTAAAAGGTCACATACATTGTATTGTGGTATATTTAAAAGATAGCCCACTGGGAAGGTAGGTGACCTGGGCTTTGCTTGTGTTTTGGTACATGACTAGTTGACTTTGAGTACGGCATCATAATTTCTTTTCTGCCATAACTTTTTTCTATGAATTTGGCAGTAAGGCTTGTAGGGTGCACTGGGCTAGGCGATCTCTTAGGTATGTTTGTGCTACTGCAGTGGTATCTTTTTTTGTTGTTTCTATCTAATCTGTTTATCTTAGATGTAAATATTAAGGGGTTCAAAATACTTAAAATTCTTAAAAGCACTAAAAAGACATTTAAAATACTGTATGCTTAAATTGTTATTGTGTTGAGTTACTTAGTAGAAGTTGAGTAAAGAATGGAGTGCTGAAAATAATATTTCAGGATTTTATTTCCCTAGTAGAATATTTGTGATATTCTAAACAAAGTGTAGCAATGTTGAATAGTCAGATAAACAACTGGCCTCTGTGTTTATTCAGACTTTTCGGTGTCAGGCTTGGTTTAAAGGTAATATGAAAGGGGTCGTTTGTTTGGGGAGACATTATTACTATGTTAATTTAATAGGCAAATCACAACAAAATACAACAGATTAGATAAAAATTAATGTGTTAGTGACAAAAATGAAGCTAGGTTGTGTGTATACACATATATACATGTATAACAGAAAAGGGTTAGTGTGGTTGAGGCAGGGAAGGACTGCATATTGTACTTCCTCATAGAGATTAACATGTTAAAGTCAACAATAAGTCCTGCATTAAAGAAGTCTGTTTAAAGTTGTTTAATCCAGCTTTTTGCCGTCCTACTAGAACATCTCTTTGGCTTGACCGTTCTCGAAGGTAGTGCTATGTCCAGTGAAAACACTCTGGGAAAAGCTACACTTGGCAAATCTCCCCTTCTCTGGTATTGTGTATGGTTAGCTGTGCTCATATAAAGCCTGCCATTCTTTCTGGGCTTAGTTCTGAGATCTTCCTAAACTTTGCTAACCCAGCAATTGATTTATTCTGAACTACTTAGCCTTTACCATCAACTACTGCATTCTGTTCTTCCCGTTCACCTTATAGCATTTTGCCATTTTGTTTTTCTTTGATTTTTCTGCTCTGAAATTGTCTTGGCAGTTACTTGAGGAACAAATTTTCCTCAGTTTCTCTGTATCTTTTCTCAAAGGCAACCATTGTCTCAGAAGTCAACTTTTATTGAGCATTTATTGAGTACCATATTCTTTTCTAGTTGCTTATCGTATAGCAGTAAATAAAACAAGATTCTATTCACATGGGAGATAGTAGGATATAGGGAGCCAGACAGTAAACAAAACATGTATTGCCTGCCAGGTAATAAGTGTTTTGGTGAAACATTAAACACGATAAGGAAGCTAGGTCAGGAAGGGGGTGTTCTTGTTTTATATAGGGTAGACAGAGAAGACCTCATTGAGGTGACATTTCAACAGTGACTTGAATATCTTTAGTGGGGTGAACAATTTCCCAGGAAGAGGGACAGCTAATGAAAAGGCCCTGAAATGTGAGTGTTCTGAGTGTGCTTGTAGAACATAAGGAGTCTGGAGTGGCTGGACAAGGTGAGCTAGGGAGAAAACCGTAGGGAAGAAGATTGGGGAGATGTGGTGGTGGGGTAGGGGTGGTTCAGCTGCTGGGCATGGAGGACTTCTTAATATATGAGTTTTTTTGTCCCACCCCCCGAGTTTATGATTATTAGTTCTAGGGTTAGGGGAGAATTTGCATTTCTGATAAGTTCCTAGATGAGAACCACTGAATTAGGGGAAGCTGGGTGGAAGCAGAGAGATTATTAGGAGGTAATGATC